CCACAACTTGATGGGGGAGTTTTTCCGACTTTTGTGGCGAAACGTCAACGCATATAGAAAAGACAGAAAGTGCTTCAAAATAGTCCAAACAAATGGTCTTTCAGTGGAAGAAAATACTGATGCTTTAGAATGCACTGCTCAGAATAACTCGATCTTCGCATTCGCTTCCGGCAACATCATCTTCTTCATTCTGGGATCTATGGATGAACTTTTCAAGCCTCGTGAACGTCTAAAACGTCCTGCAGTTATCAGAAACTCTGCTACCGACAGAAACCGCCCGATTGTCTACATCTGATGATCCTGGAAGCTGATTTACATTTGATTGTATTAACGCGAGGGAATCTACTTGATAAGAACTGTTACGGAGTTCAATATTTCGGTAATTGTTGTAACTAAGATGATAGCTTATAACTTTCTTCGAGGCGTTTTGCTCAGGATGCATGACAGATCTGCCGATGGTGTTTTTCACTCAGCAATTTTAGCTTTACTTAAGACTCGGCAAACTTTGATTGTTTTTCAATAGTGCCCGCCAAGGTTACCAGCTGGTAAGTCAAAAACGACTTCTATATAAATTTTATTAAGGAAAAATCTCTAAACTTTTAGCTACTCGGAATTAAATTTAATTTCTCTTACTGCTTTTAATCGGCTCTCATCGTTTCAATGCGTTTAAATTTTCAGAGCCGGGCTCTTCTTAATTTGCATAATCCGTAATTGGCCCGTGGGCATTACGGCTACTTATTATATGGCTAGCTCCGTAAGCCGGCAAGATAACTCAACACCTGCGCTGTGATTGGCTACCCGAGCGGGCAAGATGGAGCTATCTTGCCCGCTCGGGACTACCCGCCGTGTCCCGCAAGAAAAATTTACCCGAAAGCCATATAATAAACATAAATATTTAACTGGTAATATTTAATAACTCAGAGGTCGCGCAACATCCGTAAAACAGACAGCGTGGCAAAAGATTTCGACTGCAACAACGTGTTAACAATAAATAATAAAAGTATTACGTAGCATATGACTGTAATATCTGAAATATTTTTGTTGCAGTTTTGCCTCACAGACCATTGATCACAAAACAACTAAAACAACAGTTAAAATACTGATGAGAAGTATGCAGAATCTTGCATCATGTTATACATAGGAAAAATCTCTTTGGAAAAAAAATATGACATTAACCACATACTTCTGGTAAACACAGTAGCGTCACAATTTGTTTGTGTTTGTGTTTTTAGACATAACTCATGCCAGATTCACCCCAAACACAGGAGGAAATCAAGGTGAAAAAAAAAAACAAATATGCCGAGCATAATTGAAACATTAATTTCCTAATTAACGATTCGAAAATCCAGCATCTCCTCATTTCGGGTTTGGCCAAAGGTTCGAATTCACTCATAAAAGAAGGTAAAACGTATCTCTTTTACTCATTTGTAAATAGAAAATGAGATAAACTCAACCTGGAACAATATCAAAAGAAATTTGCAAGAATATATTTAATATCTGCTTTCCTTACAATGTTTCAATGCCCACTTCATAAGCTGGATGAATGTTCATTTCCATTTTTCTTTCACAGTCCATTCATTCTCAGAAGCCTTTAACAAACTACATAACGCAGAAGAGCAGGAACTCGCCAGTTATACTAATGACGGTAAAATAAATTAAGACTTCAAAATTTGCATTTATTTTTAGTCCACCTTTAATTTGTAAAAACAAAAAACAAAAAAAACAAGTTCAGAAAAGCATAAATTAGTGTTTTCTCTCTTTTGGCTCAGTTACATGAAATACATTACCGCTTATTTAAAATTTTTGGAAAGTTAGAGAGCCTCATCTTACCATTATTAAATGAAATTATTTTGAGTCAGCATCCCTTAGGTTTCGATAAGCCACGATTACTTTAATGTTAACGTGTTGCTAACAGTATAGAGGATATTGCGTCGCCCCGCGAGGATAAGACTTTTATGTTCGAGTTCGGATGGTATGCCTCTCACGACTGAGAGCAGCGTACTAGTGAGAGATAACATCGCCACGAGAAGATAACATTCGTCTGCCCAATTAAGAAGTCAAGTAATCTTCGTATATGGATTTTGAGGAAACATCCAAATCCAAGACATGTCAGTATTTTTGTTCATTTTAAAAGCGCAGAAAACAGCGGTCACCTTACCTGAGGTCGGGAGTGTAATCGAAAACGTGTAAATTAATATGAGAACCATCTCAAGTTCAACGAAACGCCAAGATAAAGCTCGCTTTCTCAAGAAAATATTATTTTCTGTGCCAAATTCTATCAAATTCAACGTCAATGATGTTGAAAGAAAATTATACATAACTGTTACCATGACAACATTAATATCCTTACGCCTCCCGGTATTTCTCCAATATCTGTGTTAGAAAACATTTTTAGTGATAGCTCGCTTTTTTATTTCATTTTGCAGGTAGAGTTCCTCAAACGCTGGGAGAGGCACTAAATGTTGAAAAGGCAGAAGCAAATTATGAAAATACATTTGAAAATTTATATGGTAAAGAAAATTCCATTGGGATACAAAAAGGAGCAGCATTCTTACCAGAAAAACAACTTTGAACTTAATTATGTCGTGAAACTATTATTAGTTGTTTACCACATCATAATAACAAAACCACATTTTCCCCTCATAACAGTAAAAACAACAGTTTATATCCCCAATGCGAAATATAACATTTTCATCTGCATTTACGGCGGCTGACAACGCTTTCCAGCATTTTTTGGCACTTCAACTTTGATATAGCAGTAATACCATTCTTGCACAGTTGATGGTTCAGTAAAGGCATCGACTGAAAAAGAGTTAAAGCACCTTGGAATCCCATTAATCCCGTCACCAACGGGCCATAAAAATCTGGCAGTACTAAAGGAGTTCTTTAAATAAGAAAATGACTGACGACTTTTGTTCGGGCAAGGAAAAAGTGGCCGTAAAATAGCCGTATTAACGGGGTGGTCGTAAGTCGGGGTTCCACTGCACTGATTAGTCAAGGAGGAAGTAACAAAAAATGCTGGAAACTGGAAAGTGAAAGCATATTTCAACCCCTCTATTTCGAGCAGTCGCGGGAAAATGATAGTTCAAAAAAACGGATCCAAATTAACTATGAAAGTAATAAACTGATATTAATAAAAATGCGAGGAACAGGATAGAATGATTTATTCATTATCTGCAGAATTTATTTGAAGTAATGTGGACAGTTAGGGAATGTTTTTCTGTTGACTTAGAATCAACAGAGAACACTTGTGGACGAAGTTGACCGCGTTGCCACCAAACGTTGAATTGTTCCAGTAGTGTTAGCACGGTGTTCGATGAAACAGAATTAAAAAAAAAGCTGGAATAAATTACTGAAAATATAAGGGCAATGGGTCAGAGTACAAATACGTTGGTCCAACTATATTTCTTCCATGAAAAACAGTTATCAAGAAGAGAAAATGTTCCCTTAAATTAACGCAAAAATTATCTTATATTTACGGACACTTCCATAAAAAGATATATCTTGTACGAATGTATGTAGAATGTCAAAGTGAGCAATAAACAGCTGTTGTAAACCTCTGTCACTACTGTGTCATAAATACTTCATATCCTTTGGCCCATATAAACTTTGACTCCTTCAGGTGGATTTACTTGGAAAGTTAACCGATATTTCCAAGCAGGAAAGACGTTTGCTAGTTGAAGACGGAATGATGATTATTTACCCGCAAATCCAGCAAATTTCTTTATGATGAGAAGGTTTTTTAGTAGTCGTAGTAAGCGGATTCATCTACATGTAGGATCGTTCTATTTGGATTAACTTAACCAACCATCACAATGTCGTCATCTCCGCAAGGTAGAGCTTTTCTTTAAGCCCAGAGAAAAAGAAGTTGTTGGAATTAACCTGGGGCTCGAAAGGCGGCATTCTATTGTATAACGGAACATAGGTAACAGGTTTGGTATGCCCCGCCATTTCTAACTTGCCTGACTATGAGGCAAAATCATTATGGAGATCGATCCAAATCTGTCAAATAAAATGACTGATTTCTTTGCTTTTCAGTCTTTGCTTTATTGGTCGTTTAAACGTCAATTTCGCAATATTTGTATTTTGCAACTGAGTTTGAACTAAATTGAAATTGTGCTGACTTTGAGAGAGACCACTTTTAGAAACTTCAGGAATCTGTTGGGGTCTACTCGCTTGCAGGTGTGGCATTCATCTGATCAATTAAGTGCTAAAATAAAGTGCTTATATCAGTACGAAATAATTTAAGAAGGCAACCACACAACTTTAACAGAAAGTATGTATAAGCGGTAAGCTTGAGCAATTACAGTTTAGCTGAAGAATAGATGTCGATCTCCTAGGTAAGCCCCGAACGACGTCTCAACAGCACTTGCTTTCTCACAAACCTAAATCCTGTTGCGTGCTGTCTCTGGGATCTTTAATTTGACTTTTTAACTGATCATTTAAGAAACTGCTTGACTAGATAATGGAGACAGTAATGTAACTCAAAAGAACCCTGCCTACAGTACATAAGAAGCTATATTTAAAATTAATTATTACCTTCTAAAGAAACTGTTGCGCTGCGTCGGCGGACAAGTGATCGCTTAGCTGGTATCAGAGAAGCGTCGAGAAAGAAAAATTAAATTAACCGCTGTTGCGAATTTGGAAAAGCAAAATGAAGGATATTGAGTTGAGTGTCTGTTTATATGCTATAGATTTAAGGTGTAAATATATCAGATTGCTGATTTCGAAACCATGAAAATCCCTTAGTTGCGAGGACAATTTACTTTCACTTACAAAACTTAGTTTTTCTGAAATGATTGCAAAGTTTAAAGAAAAATTTTGATTAAAGTTTGGAAGGGGAGATCTATTAAAGAGACACGTATAGCCAAAAGTTTGACATAAACTTGAATTATTATTATCTTGCAATAGACAAAGAAAACGCGAAAAGTTGCTGAAAGCAAACAAATATCAGCTAAATGATGGAGTAGAGATTCAAGATTTCATCAAAATGACAGTTCTGATATCTTGACATTCTGTCACAGAATCAAATTTGATGAAATCAAATCTATTTCCATCCTTAGTGCTTAGTTATAAAAAGATTTTCACAGCTTACCTACCTGTCATCACAGAACAAAACCTGACAACAAATTAAAAGTACTGCCTCAGCCGGCTACTAAACACATTTCACCCATATCTTGAATTTGATCTTTCTCGCACTGTGATCAATTAAAGAAATGTTTCTAACTGATCACTTAAAAGTGTTAGGTAGTCTCATATCTTTTGAATTCACTAAATCAAAGAGAAGTAACGAACGACTTCAAACGGTCGAATGTTACTGACATTGCGCAGTCAAAACATTTTATTGTTGCGGGGACCAGTATTGAAACTGCACAGGTGATTGAACCAAACAAAAAAATCCACAGAATAAACTGGCAAAGATCTAAGCACATAGAACCAATTTTTCATTGTCAAGAAGACATTTTTCGCCAGCGTTTTAACCAACTTAACCAATACCTTAACCCATACTTAAACAAAATCAATGTAAGAAAAAGTTACTAAGCCTGGCGATTATGACTTGTTAAAAAAGCAAAAATAGAAAACAGAGACATTCTTTTAATAATTTAAAATATTTGTTGTTGATGGGAAAAACATATTTCACCCACCCTATTTTCATCTTCCTTATTTTATAATTTCAACTATTGTCAGTGACATTTCTTGCGAGCCTAACACATTATTTACAGAGGAACTGCGTCTATTAATATCAGAACACCTCAACACAACGTTTACATCAAAAACATTTTGAGCGGCGTCTTTGACAACAAGTTGTCCATAAAGTCGACATTTTCTAAAAGCCCATTAATTAAGGAGTGCATATTATATGTGTTTTTTTTTTTCTTTTTTCTCTCTTTTTTTTTTTTTTAACCTTCTAATTTTCTGGAAAAAATGAAACTCACCGTCCGGCCCCTCGTCTTGTGCGGATACACGCATAAATGTTTGGATTGATCTACTTAACATCATAAATTGGTTATCCTACATTGCAGTTAAGCTATTCGATTTGTCAAACGTATAGAATTGCTTTGCTTTTTTCAAAATTGAGTGACTTTATTCATTTTTAAGAACTGAAAAAAATCTACTTTGAATTTTTACAGGACATTTCATGTAAGTATCGCAAGAATTGATCAAAGTAATTGAGCTTGCGAACTTTGAATGTGTCCATCAGATGCAAATGTTTACTTATTCGATAATATATTGACTGAGGTAGGTCTACCGCAGTAGTGATCGTAATCAGACAACCGCAATCCAACAGCAAAAATAGACGATTAATTTGGGTGAAATTGAAGTCTTATGAGGATAACCCGCTTGATATGGAACTAACGCGTTCAAAAGGCCCATCATTTTGAGAAGAGCTGTTTAGCTCTCGGCAAGTGGAAAGTAAACATTGACTTATGTGGATTTCTTAAGTTGATTTATTGTCCGTCAGACCTTCAAAACTTTAAGATTTCAAATCGACCTATTTAAATACAAAGACGAAAAAGTTACTAATTCTAAGCCCAGATCAAACGTGTGAGTCAGATAATGACACGCGCGTTACAACAATGCGATCATTTCACAGGCACGTTTAGCCGGGCGTGTAAGTGACAAAACAAAACGAGCACTTGTTCTTTTGTCTTGACTCGTGAACCCTTTTCCTTCCAATTTGGACCAAGGCTTATTAATTAATTATACAACTACGACTTTAAATGTTTTTGCACATACAATATAAAGTCATTACTGTTGCTGCTCGCAGGGTATCTTGCATTTTTGAAGGTAAGTTTAACGTATGTGATTTAACAATTTCCATAACTGCTTAAAGACCATTGACATTGCAATATTGTTTCCCTTCTAGAGTACATTTTCTGTTAATAAGTTATGACTACAGTTGATGTGGTTGTTTGAAAAGTAAATATTACTATTGTATATAACCATCAAATTCTCCATCTCCACTAGGTTAAAGACCCGGTTAACACATTCGGAACCCTCTTGTTGTTAGGGAAGACATTTCCAAGACTTTCTAAGGTCGATATTCATCTTGCACCAAACTTCTAGATACATTACTAGTAGAGACAATAATAACATTGACCAAGTTATGAATTCAAGCACTACATAAACACAGTTTGCCGCTATAAGCTTTAGGGAATTTTAAAACTATTGTCAAAGTTGTGTTATCCAACAAACATATATTATGTAATTAAATATGTGTCTATTATTCATCGTGGTGTAAGAAGGACAGATGAATTTTACTGGTTTGTCTCAGGATGGAGTCACTTTGAGATGTTGATCGCGACGTTTCGACTGCTATACTGCTAGTCTTCATCAGGCGATGAGGTCAATTGCCGCGTGGCGTTCTTTGTAGCACCTTGGTTCGCTGCTATTGGTGCATTTCGATCCTCAGTTTTAATCCGACTTTGTGATGCTGTTCCCTCATAGGTCCGCATTGTAACTGACCGGCTGTTGTGCTTTTTGATTGTAGGTATCCATGCTTCAGGAATTTCAATTCCACTATCTCTATTGATTTTATTTGGATGAAGTCTTACATGGATAGCTTCCTTGACCCTTCGTGTGTACCAGTGAGGGTCACGATCAATAAACTCGACTTTTTCCCAAATGAGTTAATGCCCCGTCTCGTTGGCTTGCTCTGAAATTGCGGAGGTTTGCGTACGAGCAAGCCGTATGTCTCTGTCATGTTCTTTTATTCTCTCTCGCATAGCTCTCCCTGTTTCTCCGATATACACTTTGCCGCATTCGCAAGGAATCTTAGAAACAACACCGTCTTGTTTTGTTGGTTCCCTTGAACCAACCCTAACCCTAACCTAACCCTAACCCTCTTTTCGCTTTTACATTTTAAAAAAATAGAACTTAGACTGGAAGCCGAAAGCTCTTCTTTTTATCAAATTCTGAATCAGAGAAGTCTTTTACACAAGATTATTTGGAAAATTTAGAAACCTTTAAACAAACAGAAACAGAGACTACCTTTTACCAGAGCTGCCCAAAAGCTCAACAATGATAAAGCAATGTTTTAAAATAACTCAGATTTGTCGCTGGGGACTCTGGTTTGCTAAAGCCGTTGTTTTCTAACATTTTATAATAACTTTACAGATGGAAGCCAAGCAAGGGTTTATTCTTGTGATTTGCTCAATGATATTGGTTGGAGAAGTAGGTAAATGATGGTTATTAAATCTGTATATTAACATCATATTTGAAGATCGCAGTAAGCGTCGCTTAGTTCTGGCTAAAATAGCTATAGACTTGGTCTGCTGGTTGATTGGCTGATTGGCACAAAATACTACTCCTGAAAACTGAGTGATATACGATAGAAGTTGCAATCTAAATACATCTGCATTCTCGTCCCAAATTTTTCTGCCATAAAAACAGCACCGCAGGAAATCATCTTCGAAAATAGGCCGCAAATGATGCCGCTTTCTTTGCTTTCTAGGGTGTTCACTTTCACTTACAATTTTAGGGCAATGCGACAACTTTGTTTGGCAGGGAAGCAAAGTTTTATTTTGAAAGCATTGGTCCTGGTGTTCTTGTTCAGGTTTTGATTTCCCCTAGGAGGTTTGAGAACACGAAAGGCTGAGTATTTTTTTAGCTTATATTCTGACAACGTTTTCCTACGATTTTTGCCTGAGGCACAAGTGGTTAAGAAAAAATTGAGATGGCAGACTGGTCGATTTATCAAGCATTGCATTAACATAATTTGTCCTAGCAGCTATGAATTTACATTTGGGTAAAAATCACGGTTCGAGATCATTTGCGGTCCAGTTTGGGATCATATGCGGTCATATGTTTTCGGATCTCTTGCGGTGCTTTCATCGAATTTAACTGACAAAGAGATCCTACTG